CAGAGTTCTGACGCAGATAAAATTTGATTAGCGCCAACGCTGGCTATTGGCGCCAGACACCAACATTAGCGCCAGGCGCCAATACTAGCGCCAGGTGCCAAGCGTAACGCTAGGCGCTACAGCTGGCGTTTGGCGCTGATTCAGAAATTCACGCGTTTTCTTAAAATCAGATAAAAACATTCTACTTAAAACTCTGAAAAGTCAACAAAAGTCAATTTATCAATGCTAATTGAATTAGAAATTAAAATAACCTTCTAGAAGAATCTAGAAAACTAAAACCATTCCTAATTGCATTAGGAATGATAAATCTATATTAGGCCCTCCCCTAGATCATTGGGCCGCATATAAGGCTCAAACCGGGCCCAGTTTAGTAAATTGGCCATAACTTCCTCAATATTCATCGGAATTGGGCTTATAATATATCGTTGGAAAGGTCTTTTCAAACCCCATTCAACTACACCATTATTGGACCCATATCATGGACCAACCAAACTGGATTGGCTGTTTTCTTAAAATAAGTTTTCAAAAACAGAGAGAAGAGAAAAGAAATTAAAACTATCCGCAACACTAAACTTTCCACACTTTCACTTCATTCGATTATGATTCGACGTGAAAAGTACTCATCACCGGGTTTGGTTTTGGGGAAACACAAACGGGTGTCTACGGTGATACCTAAAGACTAAGTTAGTTGATTTTTATTTACAAGCATTAATCACGTAGGAATTACATTGCAAAAGTCGTTATTCTTTCTTTAATCAATATTTGTAAAAAGAACAAAATAAACAATATTCGCCTAGTCTTAAGTGATAAAACAACAATTAATTATCAAATTCTATTCTTGATTAACAAAAGAATACTATGTGAATTAATTAATTAAATTTTTTTTTAAAGTTATCAAAAAACACTATTTATTCAATTAAAGTTATTCAAACAATAAAGAAAAAGTGATTTATCTAAGTGCTCAGGAAACTAATTGTTCTTCTTTTATGTTAATTCTCCGTTTAATGTGTTTATGGACTTTCTTTCTTCTTCGTACCTTCAAGAGATTCAATGGATGGATTAGGTTTGAAGAGTAGTTTGGAAGAAAGAGGGAAAATTAATATGTTAGTAAGAGAAAATGAGAGATTAGGGTTTTGAGAATACTAGGTTTTTAATTCTGAATTTTCGCTCCTCGTAATGCTAAACGAAGACCCCTATTTATAGGCGTAGGGATTAGGTTTAGGGTTTTAGAGCCACGCCGTCAGGTGGCCCGCGCAACTCTCTGAGTCGCGCTAGGTTCCGCGCGCATCTTAATGAGTCGCGTGTGTCAGGCGCGCGCGACTGATTGAGTTGCGCTGGTTTGCGGTTTGCCTTATACGAAAGCGCGTTTTTAAAATTTCAATAACTTTTTATTTCCAAGTTGGATTAATGCGTGTGAGATATAATTGGAAACCTCTGAATGTCTAATTTCCAATGCCGTTGGAATTAGGTTAAAATATGTTATGGATCAAAAGTTATGGCCGTTGGAGTGCAAGGGTGTCGGTTTTAGGGCCCGGTTTAGTGTTTTGATCATAACTTATTCGTTTTGGCTCAGAATTGGGCTTATAATATACCGTTGGAAATCTCTTTGAAAGGTCTATCCATCTTTATAGGTCTTGCATGGGAATTTGATGGTTAGTTTATTTGTTTGGCTCAGTTTTCAACAATATAGGTTCCATTGGATCCAATCATTGCATTTGACGCATTTGGGTCCGTTATTAATCAAGTATAAACATGTATGAACACGTTTTAGGCCTAATTAGTAATTGGAAAAGGCTCTGAGATAACTTGGTCTCAAATATGGGTTTTAACTTACTTCATAATGCTTTTCGTAGTCCATAAACACTTCAACTTTGATCTAACATGAAGAACTGATTTTTGTAACATCATTGCACTTCCTTTCGAGACAAGAGGCCAAAAGTAGGTGTCTACAGCGTGGTAATGTAGACTTGCATGAGTTAATAATACTTGTAGTGTCTTAATTCCGAAGTGTGAAAAGCCAAAATATATCATGGAATTTAGACCAATTAGTTGTTACAATGTGCTCTATAAGATAATTTCAAAGGTGGTGGCGAATAAACTGAAACCTTTTCTGGATAAAATCATTTCCATAAACCAAAGTACTTTTATTCCAAACAGGTTAATCACAGACAATGCGTTGGTTGCCTTTAAAATCTTTCATGCTATGAAAAGAAAGTGGGAAGGCAAAGAGGGAACAGTGGCTTTGAAACTGGATATGAGTAAGGCGTATGATAGACTTGAGTGGGTTTTTCTGGAACGGGTCATGTATAAAATGGGGTTCAGTGATAGTTGGGTCAGGAGAATCATGGACTGCTTATCTAGTGTGTCTTTTTCTTTTAAGATTAATGGTGGAATCTCGGGTTCCGTAACCCCTTCTAGAGGTCTACGACAAGGTGATCCAATCTCACCTTATTTATTCCTAATTGTTGCTGATGCCTTTTCCACTCTCTTATCGAAAGCTGCAAATGAGAATCGTATTCATGGTGCAAAAATATGTAATGGTGCTCCTAGAATCTCACATTTTTTTTTTTTTGCAGATGATAGCATTTTGTTTGCAAAAGCAACGGTTAGTCAATGCTCGGTGATAGCTGACATTATCAGCTTATATGAGAGAGCATCCGGTCAAAGTGTTAATCTAAACAAAACCGACGTAGTCTTTAGCAAAGGTGTTCATGGAGATCGAAGACAAGAGATTGTTACTATTTTAGGATTTAAGGAGGTTGAAAAAACATGAGAAATATCTTGGTTTACCAACAATAATTGGTAAGTCTAAAAAGGCGATTTTTGCAAGCTTGAAAATGAGAGTGTGGGATAAAATACAAGGGTGGCAAGAGAAGCTTTTATCAAGGCCCGACAAGGAAGTCCTCATAAAATCAGTAGCTCAAGCGATTTCGACTTATATGATGAGCATATACAAGATACCAGAAGGTTTGATTGATGAAACTCATGCGTTGGTGGCTCGATTTTGGTGGGGATCAAATGAGACGACTAGGAAGACACATTGGCATAGTTGGGAAGCTTTATGCAAACCCAAGTACATGGGGGTATGGGTTTCCGTGATCTAAAAGTGTTTAATCAAGCGCTTTTAGCAAAACAATTATGGCGTTTACCTACCATGCCCAATTCCTTGGTGTCCTCCATATTAAAGGCGCGCTACTACAAGAACCACACAGTTCTAGAATCCTATAGGGGTTATGACCCTAGCTACTCATGGTGCAGCATTTGGGGATCCAAATCACTCATTCTTGATGGTGTAAAATGGAGGGTAGAAGATAGAAGAAAAATCCAGGTTTGGCTTGAATCATGGCTGCCAAGGAAGTCAACTACTGCTGTGCCTACTCATGGTCCAAATTTTGATCCAGAACTGAGAATTTCTGACTTGATGCAAGAAGGGAAAATGGAGTGGAATATCGCTATATTTCACACCTTATTTTCTGATGAGGAATGCAAAAAGATTACACACCTTCCAACCTCTATTTTCCAGAAAGAAGATGAACTCTTTTGGTGGCCTTTGAAATTAGGAGAATGGAGCGTGAAATCTGGCTACTGGTTAAGGAAACTTTGGCATTTGGAGGAATATGAAAGCTAGCTTACTAATGATGATAGGGAGACATGGCGTGTGGTTTGGTGCTCAAACAGACCATCGAAACTCAATCACTTTGTTTGGAAAGCATGTCGAGGGAATTTAGCAGTGAAAGAACTCCTCCACCATCTTCACATTGCTCCTGATGGAATTTAGTAGTGAGTCTGTAAACCATGCCTTATTTGATTGTGCCCATGCGAAGGACATATGGGATGACAGTGATTTTGTTGATATTCTCATAGATGCTCCGCGCACTTCTTTTAAGATCACCCTTCTTTGGCTCTCCAGGAAGCTTTATCCTCTTCAATTAACACGTCTCCTTGCGATGGCTTGGGCAGCTTGGTTTTGTTGAAACAAACGCTTCTTCACAAATACTAGTGTAGGATGGAATTTAGTAGTGAGTCTGTAAACCCCTAGATTGAACCCCACAGTGATCATACAATAAAGTACGGTGGCGTCCAAAAGGGAAGAAGATAGCACTAGTAGAAAAATGTACATTTGCGTCGCCATATTTGCGTCACTCATTCTAAGGAGCGAAGCAAATGTTTATTTTTACCATCCTTTTAAGTTATTTGCGTCGCATGTTATTCAAGAAGCGACGTAAAACTCAAGTGCATTTCAGCTTTCTCTCATTTGCATCGCTCTTATTTATTAAAGCGACGCAATTAATAAACTTATTTGCGTCACTCATTTGTTAACAAGCGACGCAAATAAGTGATTAAGTAAATTGCGTCACGCTTTTACTTAATGAGCGACGCATATGAGCTGTGTATAATATCATAAACAAGGTTATTTGCGTCGCTTTTTTATAATAAAGTGACGCAAATAACTCTTTTGGCTTTAGGTTTTCTGCGTTTTTTTACCTTCGCCTACATTCACTAATCAAAAAGAAAAAAAACAAGAGTTCTTCAATTCCAGTGAATTTCTACAGCAAAACACCCAAAAATTCGTCTCTGAAACCCAACAAATTAGGCCAAAAAACTGCGATTCCCCAGCAAATTTAACATCTAAATTGAAATTGCAGTCAAGTTGAAGCAAATCCGAGCAATTTCGAGCAAGAATTTAGACCAAAAACCCCAAGAAATTCGAACCCTTAAACCCAGAAAAATTGATTGTTTCCGACCAAAAATCCCCCATGACGAGCAAAAAATCAACTCAAACGCGTTTCGGAATGATAGGTTTGATCCTCAGTCGTATGTTCAGTCCAAATGCTCTCTTAATGAGAAGGTAATTTGATTTTGTGCTTAATTTGTGTTTAAGTTCTTTAATTTTGTTCTTAATTTGTGTTCATTTCTGTTGAAATTAAAATTTCGAGTTTGTCAGAAATTGTGATTTTCTTGTTTTTATTTATTGTTGATTATTTGAAATTTATAGCAAAACACCCACAAATTTGTCTCTGAAATCCAACAAATTAGGCCAAAAAACTGCGATTCCCCAGAAAATTTAACATCTAAATTAAAATTGCAGTCAAGTTGAAGCAAATCCGAGCAATTTCGAGCAAAAATTTAGACCAAAAACCCCAAGAAATTCGAACCCTTAAACCCAGAAAAATTGATTGTTTCCGACCAAAAATCCCCCATTTCGAGCAAAAAATCAACTCAAACGCGTTTCGGAATGATAGGTTTGATCCTCAGTCGTATGTTCAGTCCAAATGCTCTCTTAATGAGAAGGTAATTTGATTTTGTGCTTAATTTGTGTTTAAGTTCTTTAATTTTGTTCTTAATTTGTGTTCATTTCTGTTGAAATTAAAATTTTGAGTTTGTCAGAAATTGTGATTTTCTTGTTTTTATTTATTGTTGATTATTTGAAATTAGAAGAAAGAGAAAAATTTTAATTTATTTTCAATTAATTTTTAGTTGATAATGAAGAATGAACAAATGATAGAATGATGATTGATGGATAGTCTAAATATAGGAGGTGCCGAATTGCCGAATTTAGTAGGCTTATTGCTGAGATTATTGGATGGGAAGGGGGGCTTATCATCTCCTTCAACTTCTTTGTTTCTCCGGTAATCATAATTTGCTATTGTATATGCACACCAGTCTTTTTCTTTTTCTGTTACACTGCAGTCTTTTCATGTAATTTTATCCTGTTCGTAAAATATGTTAGGCAACTTCATTCATATAAAACTGCTGTATTCCTGCATGATTCTGTAACTCTGAACCCAACTTTACCACAAGCAAACAGTTATATTGTTGAAACTTTTCAATCAACACACTTTGTATATGTAGTTGTAGCCCTTGCGAGTTGCCACTTTAATCATTTTATAAAAATTCTTCATGCTGATTGCTGACATATATTTTACATCTGTTACTCATTGCAAGATCAGGCATCATGTATGTATTTCTTTTAAGGCTTTTTTGGTCTGATGCATGGGACTAGTCTTCCAAGGTTCTCATCACTTAATAATATTTGTTGTTTGATTGTTGTGGATTCTCAGGTGCCATTGCTGGCTCAATTAAACCCCAGCGGTGCAGAGAGACTACCGCCAGGGATAGTTGCTTCTAAGTCAGATCTCTATCTCCGTAGACTATGGGGTCTTCCTAGTGAGGTATGTGAACATACTATAACAAATCTCTGAAATTTCTTCTCACATACACCTTACTTTTAAACTGTCTTCTGTTATGTAGAACCTCCTCTTTTAATCACTATCCTTGATACTTGTTGGACAAAAAGTCTTTACTCTGTTTCCCACATTACACTTTTCGGGTTAATAGGGGTCTGAGTAATGATGTAAAGGAAAAAAAATAAGCAAGGGAACTGTAATTTTAAACATTTATTTATGTACTTTTAAGGTTTCTTGATAAATTGCATTATCAGCACAAAGACTGAGTTTTATTCATTTTGATAATAGAATTTTGAAGTTTGAATATAATACTGGTTCAAAATGGCTTCTGCAGGATCTGAAAACCAAGCCTAAGTATCTAGTGACCTTCACAGTTGGCTTAGATATGAAAGAAAATATTGACAAAGCAGTTAAAAAGGTTTCTTTCTAGCAATTTCAAGTCCTTTATTACTGCTAACATCATCTTTGTATTAATTATATGCTCTTTTATCCTTGCACAGTTCTCAGACAACTTCACTATTCTGCTCTTCCATTACGATGGTAAGACGACTGAGTGGGATCAGTTTGAGTGGTCAAAACATGCTATCCATGTCAGTGCTCGAAAACAGAAGAAATGGTTAGTACTCTTGTTTTAAGGCAATTGGGTCAGATTAATTATCAATTTTATCATACTGATCCGTTCTTTCATTGTATGGTTAAAGGTGGTATGCAAAACGATTTCTACATCCTGACATTGTGGCACCATATGATTACATATTTATCTGGGACGAAGATTTGGGAGTGGATAATTTTGATTCCGAAAAGTTAGCACTCTTTCTGCATCATATCCTCTAATGTCTTGAGCTATTCAGTACAGAACTTTTGTCATTTATTTTTTGTTGAATTTTCAGATACGTTGATTTGGTTAAGAAACATGGTTTGGAAATTTCACAACCTGGTGTGGATCCTAATAGTCCGTTTACATGGCAGATGACAAGGAAAAGACATGACAGTGAAGTTCACAAGTAATAACTACTAATGATGTATAATTTATGCCCAGTTATCTTCCTTTGCAACAGAAGCAGGATGATGAGTATAATGTCTATGATATTGAGATGTAATTTATTGGACAGGTTAATATAATGCCGTCATTCCAAATTTTATGGGTAGGCCAAATTACAAAGGAGACTCTGCCGAAATTTACATTTGCATTATTCAATAATATTGCATTTTAATTTCAATTATATTAGCGTTAGCATATTACTTTATACCACTAGTAAGGAAAACAGGTACTACAAACATATACAAGGCAATTATTATAATTAAAAAAAAAAAATTCACCTCATTTGCGTCACTCATTAAACAAACTAGTGACGCAAATACAGCAATTTTGTATTGTCTACTCAGTCATTTGCGTCACTCCTATATAAACAAGTGACGCAAATAACAAATAAGAAGTTTATTAGAAGAGTCATTTGTGTCGCTCTTTTATAGAGGAGTGACGCAAATAACAAAAAAGAAGTTTATCAGAAGAGTCATTTGCGTCGCTCCAAAGGAGCGACGCAAATAACAAAAAAAAAGTTTATCAGAAGAGTCATTTGCGTCGCTCCTTTATTAAGGAGCGACGCAAATGACTCTTATTTGCGTCGCGCCTAGGAGCGATGCAAATGACTTAAAAGTCATTTGCGTCGCGAGCAGTTGCGTCGCTCATAGAAGCGACGCAAATACACTATAAATGAGCGACGCAAATGAGCCTTTTTCTACTAGTGTAGAGCAAAAGAGTCGCCAACAAGTTTTAGGAACTTGTAAACCGTTCACAGGGTGAAGGTTACACCCCTTAACGATCCAAGAGATCGTCAACTCCATAAGGTCTAGAACCAAATAAGGGTTCGGGGATGAAGGTACAAATCCAACCTAAAAGAGATTGAACCTGCCCTAATAATAGGCCTCTACTTTATTCTGATCGTATTAATGTGCGCTTTTTAATTAACATACAATCAATAGATTAACCCTAAACCTGTTTAATCTATGTTGGTTGAATATTAATGCACAAATAAATCTATTATTGGCGATCACTTGAATTATAATCACAATTAACCCTAAACAAGATTATTAATTATCTTATTAAGCATGATTACAAGTACCAAATTCCTTTTAAACATGCATAAAAGGCGTGATCAAGCAATAACAACGAAAATCAAGAAACATAATAATGAACCAATATCATGAATAACGATTATAATAGCAATCATGTTAATAATCATGATAATAATAGCAATAATTATAATCATAATCATCAAAAATAAAATAACCATCATCAAAATAATAATCATCATAAATTATAACAATTATAATCATAATCATGTTCATGTTAATATTAAAACATAATAATAGCAAGATCCTAGGCATAATACTAACAAGATTAATAACAAACCCTAGCATGTCACTAAGCAATAAAAATCAAATCTTTAACCCTAACATGATACTAACATGAATAAATATTAGGAAGAACATAGGAAGCATCGTAACAATCATATTTAATATTAAAATTACCCTAGGCATGATACTAGGAATGTCATAATAACAATTTAAACATGATTTCTACATCATAACATCAAAAAATCATTAAAATACTTACTTTGATGCCTCGTACCTCTTTCTAATAACAAAATACACACGTTAGTAACTTCAAGGAAAATAATAAACAAAACAATTAAATTAAATAATTGAAAGAGAGATTTGGGACCAAACCCTCAGAAATTAAAACCTTTCACGTCTAGGGCGAAGACAACTTCGAATATGGCTAGGTGTTTCTAGATCTTGCGAATGCGGAATTTTGTATGTAAAAAAAAAGTTTAGAAAAAGAACGGAGAGATGAGTGAATTAAGAGAGAATTAGAGAATTAATGATTGCGAATGAAAACTGATTGTTGATCAAAATTGGTGAGAATTGGTGATGATTGAAAACTGATTGTTGGTGAATGTAGATTATAATTGATGAATGAAAACGGAGTTTTTAATACGATATTTATAAAGAAAATCAGCCAAAAAGATAAATTAAACAAAACAGAGTCTGATGCACAAAAAACAGAGCTAGCGCCAACCCTGGCTAGCTGGCGTCAGGCACCAACACTAGCGCCAGGCGCCAGGCCTGGTTCCAGGCGCCAAGGCCTAGGGTCAGACGCTAGGCTTAAATTTAACGCGTTTTTGAAAATCAGATATGTTTGCCGTATTGGAGGATAAAATCATATAATTTCCTCGAAAATGCTATTTGATTTTGATTAAAACTGTGAAAAGTCAACAAAAGTCAATTTATCAATGCTAATTGAATTAGGAATGAAAAGAACCTTCTAGAAGACTAAAACCATTCCTAATTGCATTAGGAATGATAAATCATATTAGGCCTTCCCCTAGATCATTGGGCCGTATATAAAGCTCAAACCGGGCCCAGTTTAGTAAATTGGCCATAACTTCCTCAATATTCATCGGAATTGGGCTTATAATATATCGTTGGAAAGGTCTTTGCAAGCCCCATCCAACTACACTACTATTGGACCCATATCATCAACCAACCAAACTAGATTGGCTGTTTTCTTAAAAATAAGTTTTCAAAAACAAAGAGAAGAGAAAAGAATTAAAACTATCTGCAACACTAGACTTTCCACACTTTCGCTTCATTCGATTATGATTCGATGTGAAAGGTACTCATCACCGGGTTTGGTTTTGGGGAGACACAAATGGGTGTCTACAGAAGCCCCCACTTTGACTGAGTTTAGAGAAACGCAAGTTTCGAAAAACGAAAGTCAAAGTATCGATAGGGACGAAGAATGACTCAGAACGTTCCGCGATCCTAAACCAATCTTGCAACGCCGATACTTGCAAACTAGCATTAGTTAAACAGATAAAAGAGTTAAGAAACGCGTATCTTGCACCGTCGAGCACACGTCTCTAAAAGTAACCAATTTGTTTTGATGACCTCCTGCAAGCTAGAGAATGCCATCCCTCTTGAAAACCGCTACGCCCGTAACTGCTTTCAAATTTATAAGATTGCTTCGCCTGAAACGATCCTCCCCCGCAATGATAATATTCCGCGTCCAAGGGAATACTATCGAAAATTATTTCTCTTGAAACAATCCTCATCCGCATTATGACCATCTTCCATGCCTGAGGGAATATGATCGAAGACAACTTCGCCCGAAATTACCTCCAGTTGTTTGTGACAACTCTCCGCAAGCTAGGGAATGTTGTCGAAGATATCTTCTCTTGAAGTCATCCTCATTTGATGCGATAATTTTCCAAAGGAAATTAGCGAAGATCCACGCCTGTCGATCTTTAAAAGTTCGCCTGAACTTTGCTCCCGCTATGCCTGTACGTCGGCGCTTCTATTGCTTTGAACTTGTACGTCGGTGCCCTTTTGCTTTTAAACCTATATGTCGGTGCCTTTTTGCTTTTGAACCTATATGTCGGTGCCTTTTGTTAATGAGCCAATTCTTAGGCGCTTTAAGCTAAGTGAGACGATCTTTTATCAGGTCGATCACTTTACGTAATCAAGCCGATTACTAAATCATGTAAAATTGCTTAGAGGGGCTAACTGGCATACCAAGGAACCCAAAAATATGTTGCAGAAGGCTAGCACAACCTCATCAGGTGGCTGGGTGATCTGGCGCCACTTAAAAGCCATTAGTGCCACTTATTTAGCCTTAGCGCCAGGCGCTGAGCTTGGCGCCAGACGCCAAGCCAAATTTGTGACGCCAATGCATAGGGCTTGGCGCCAGCACAGGGATTTCCTTAAATAACCCTTTCTTCTTCATTTGCTGCTTTGCTCGTTGCGATTCTGCTCGAAAAAAGTCCGAAAACTTCAATTGCTCGATTATTACTCGTTTCTCAACCGAATTTGCTCAAATTTATTGCAAATCAAAGCTCTTTTCATCTACTTTCCCGATCTATGTAAGTTTTCTTCAAACTCACATCGGTTTTTATGAATTCTTGGCATGTTTATTCACGAATTTCATGAAAATTTGAAATTTATAATGCTCAATTTGCTTTGTTTATCAAGTTTTATGCCATGAAATTGCTTGATTATGTTTATATATTTCCTTAGGAGTAATTTGAGACTTGTTTGACTCAATTTGGTGAAGAAATGAGCAATGTGCCATTGTTGGACCTCTTAAGGTCGTGAAGAACAATGTGACTCGTTCTTGATATTTTTGCTAGCAATTCTTGTCCAATTTGTTACAATAATTACTATAGTGTTGCAAGAAATTGTTTGATTGCTTGAAACAATGCCGTTATGCTCAATTTGAATTTGTGCTCTGTTTTAGTACTACGTACTCTGTTTTTGCGAACATAGTATCATGCGGCTAGGCGAACATTAGATACTATAGAACCTTAATTTATGATAATTTTGCACAATGTAGCATGGCTAGACAGCGAGGCTCGGGTTCACGGTCCCGAAACACTAGACGGGAGCATGAGCCCGTAGAGGATGACATCACACCTTCCACTTCGCTTGGTCGACTTCCGGAGTGGGATGAGTGAACCCTGTTCTTCGCCCTTGTCCACCAAATTTCCGAGAGGGTGAGATAAGGCATCGCGCCCGGGAGGACACGGCATCACGGCTCTGGCTGTGATGGTTTGGGCGATTTGTACAGGATTTACATCGCCAGGGATCTTGAGACGAGACTCCTATGGGAGTCTTGCGGGCTAGCTACTCTGTTCGAGACCTCTGAGGCTATGGTTGCCTCTAGCGGGGGTCATCATGTAGTGCGCGCTTTGGTGGAGTTCTTTTGGGACACCACCAACACCTTCCATTTCCCCTGGGGCGAGATGATGGTCACCCCTACGGACTTTAGTATCATCACAGGATTGGAGTTCACCTCTGTGCCACTGCCGTTTGACAGCGGAATCGACGTATTTTCTTCGGAGGTCGAGGAACTGTTGGGGCCGATCGCTATTCGGGCTCGAGCTGAGGTCGAGACGACTAAGTTTAGCGCTAGAGGAATTCGCCGCTCGACGTTGGCAGCAGCTCTTGATGACGATGCGACCACCAGAGAGCAGCGGGTGCGCATCTTTGTGCTGATGTTGTTGTCAGGGACATTCTCCCCTGACAAGGGTAGTAGGGCATTGCTTTACTACCTCCCTACTGTCCGTGAACTTCACCGGATTGGGACTTATGACTGGGCCAGCTTTGCCTATGCCGACTTCGTTCGTGCGCTTAGGGACTCGTGTCGGCACCGGTCCTTTGGGA